TCATTACAAAAAGACAAATTTGCGCTTACCCTTCAAAATACCCGCAAACAAGAAGTCTTATCTATTGAAGGGGGACAAGAACACTCAACTTAACAGAGAAGGCTTTTTGGAACAGGTGAAAAAAGAAACTAGGCCAAGGTCACTAATTACCACGAGTATCTTCGACACCTCTTCAGTATGATTAAATGTCCTTCAGTAGCACAGAGACGCAACCTTGTCCGATTGCGCACTCACTTACCATGACAATCTCGGATGTCGTTTACGCAATTCAACGTTAATTGGCATGAGTCACTGAGACCAACAAGAATGGTACCTAGTTATAGTCTGAAACCTAATTAAATCACGGTGGCCAAGGCTACAACATACTGGAGTAACTATTGGTTGACTCAAATGGGTGTCGCAGTGAGAGCAACACTGTTGAGACCGAATAGTATCGCTATTATCAAAGTTTGCTAAAAAATCAAACTTAAGCTTTTCGATCCCACCATTTCACGGACCGAATGTATTCCCAAAACGGAATCCTATTAACCTGCAAATAAAAGCAGAGTTATGGCTGTGGCCCAGCGGTGTATCCTTTTAGTTAGGATGACAGAACGAGATTCTAATGAAGGAACCGAAACGGATGATTAATGCCCCTCAGTCAAAGGGTATCTGCCCCTAATTTGGACCTATCAAAGAAAGAAGAGGGCCAATTTATTAAACGAATTTTCTATATTTAACAACTGTATGCGTCCTTAACCCACCAAGTTTCCGTCTTTCATACCCATTATGGTCTATCAAGATGACAGGCAATAATTATAGCTGGCTAAAATGTTTGACAAAGCTGGGATTATGGTGGCGCAATATTGACCATTAGATCGCGCCAGGTAAGACGATCTACACCGCCTCCTTTTCGTTTGAACAATATGGTGTAAGGATTATGGGTGAACGTAACATGGGGCACAAAGGATTCACTCAGCTCTAAAGCTTTCCAGAACACGTTAATGGACTAGTAGAGATCGGATTTGAACAGAATTAAAAAGGAGCTACTAATATGGAGTCGATATCTACTTAATGACCTGATTACTTTTACAAAATTACTGGCCTATCAAAGTGAGGAGTTGGGATGGGAATTTCCAATTCTCTTAAAGTAACTACCAAACCTACCTACAACTCATTTCTCTGCCGCTTATCGGTGAAACCACTTTTCACCCAAATTCGAACTTCTACTACCTAGTTCGCGTTTGCATAGTTTTAAAAAACACATATTATAAATAGCGATCGATAGCTATCATGAGCAAGATAATGGGACCTAAATATCTATAGCGTTGCAAGCGATTAGTTCAGTGAACTGGGAGTTTATGCGATAATTACTTGGCTCAAAAATAAATTGCTGACATGTGCATCACGCCTATAAGAACCATTACTATACATTACCATAATCCAAAAAANAAAAAAAAACTCTACGGAAAGGTGGGCTTACATCTTGATATGTTTTCTTGCAGTGTGGACAGATCCCTGGTTGGGTGTCAACTACTAACGACGTACGCTTCGGAAATACTTCAGCATCGTCATCAGACGAAGACAAAGAGCAGTAGTCTGAATGTGACAGACGCGAAATTGGAGTCGGTGACGGACGCAACATTCCTGCAAAGAAACAGCACTATTTGTTCTTTACTAAGGAGAATATAACTATCGAAGTGAAACGAGGAAAACGGAGTGAACAGTAGTATGGCAACATCATAGCAGAGCACATTTGAAAAGTATGGGGTCACAAGGTCGGGGGATGTACGCCTGGATGCACAGCAATGTAGTGCCAGCGCCGTTAATGTGCTCGATAGGAGGTGAGAATTTGAATAACTACCGTATACAACTTCGGACTAATGTTACTGCTAAATCTCTTGGTTGCGGTTCTAGATAGCTAGATGGATGCAAGCTTCTCAAGCTCTTTTAATAGAACGTAACCCTTCTGCCGAGATACCAAATTTCTTTTGCTACTTACTGTATTCACCTATTTTCTTACTATACGATCAATGGTGGGCGTCCCTTGCAGTTACTTTATATTTCACTTAACATAGCCACAATGTACGCAATATTCTGGGTAGTGATCATAACTCAAACCAATACTAATAACTATTAGAAACCCCCGGAAGCAAAAGTAAGCGAAGCAATGAAAAAAGAGATCAGCAGCGCAACGTTGTATTTAATAGTACCTAGAAAATAAAAATCAAATAGAAGCCTAAATCTTTCGAAATACTTTACTACTGATTGTGAGTCCCTTTCATTACTGTCACGATGACCCATCAAGTGATCCAACGAACAAACTTATAAAGTTTAGGCCCAACATATTCATATGCAAGCGTTAGAAGAAGACGCAATGATACTGCCGGAAGTAGTCATGTTGTTTTCCGCCGAGTTACTTCTGCAGAAGTTCCACATGCCAGCCTGTGCTTCTGCCAGAAGCAGTTATGAATGAGTAAACAGAATAAATAAATAAGATACTCGCCGACATGCAACCCGCTCCCAATCAACAACAAGTTTTGCAAGGACGTAAAGATGCTGCCGGAAATCGTACAGTATATTAGCGTAATGTCCTCGTAAATGCTTCGGATGCTTTAAGCGTTTGCTTAAGTTCTTTATTTTCCGCAATGTTCAAGAAAGATAGCGCACCTGCAACACTCGTTAATACGTGGTGGATTAGCAGACTTTCAGGTCATTCGATGAGTGCTTCAACTCGCCGCTCTATACAAATAGTAGACGTTAAGTGGAATGTGAATACACCGAACATGGTCGTCTCAGTATGAGACCTTAGACAGATGTTCAAGCATGTATTAGAAGGAAACCCCATCCTAAAGGTTGGGATCGGGATTATTTCAAGGATTTAAGCTTACTCACTTACCATCCTCCGCTACTCACTAGCCAGAAATCCGTGAGAAGCTAAATTTGGCCAAAACTAACTGAGTGTACTCATCAAAATTACTCAAAATTGGTCTAATGTAGTTCAATGAGGTGTTGATTATATACGCAAGACCAAGAAAACTATGCATTCGCAACAACGTGACTTAAACTAGTTCTCCACAGTTCGACGAAGTGTCAGCAATCAAGGTTCGAAAGCACAAGCGAATTTTTATAAAACAAGAGGCAGATGAGCCAACAAAATCTAAATATTTCAGTTTTGAAAAAAAATCTGCTGGGAATATGGTTCAGAAAAAAGGCTGCTCAAAAAATAGTTCAGAATTGGAAAAACTGACGGGATGACTATTGCTGCGAATGTCAGTGATTCCCGGACATTGCACAATGAAAGCGAAATAACGTCCTTCAGCTGTCAGGAACTTATTCAGGAACACTCGTAAAAAAGACCTTTGAATGAATTCCTATCCTAAGAGTATGAAACCGCAACCTTCACTAAACGAAATAAGAATAGCTCAGATACAACTATGTCCCTTCATAGGGGCCCGATGCGTAACATAGAGGGCGGGATGATGATCGCGTCACGAGGACAAACAGAAATCGCTCTGAAAGTGGTATGGCTTTTCACGGTTTGGGAGAAAAGCCACAAACCACTCGACGTGAATTCGAGAAAATCCGAAGAGGAAGGGCTACGAAAGAAGCGAAAGCGAAACGCTAAGGAAATCATAGGATAGCAATCGATCGTAAAACCTTTGGGTTTAGTGGTTGGCACAGAATGTCCTACAGCCATTGACTCGGCTATGTTCAAGTACCTCTTCATAGCCGAGTACTCTGTATGTAAGACTATGATATAGGTAAGGGATGATCGGAAAAAGTTAAATACGGAACACTTATAAAATGTTAGAAGTAAATTAAAGTGGATAACCGTTAACGTAAGAAAAGATGCTTCTGAGTTCAGATGTTCGAGGGAAAATGCAAGAGAAAGTACCCTAGAATTCGGATTTCAGCAGCATTACCAGGTCTCTATTGAAGGAACAAATCACTCATCTCGAAGTCCATCTCGAAAGCGACAAACTCAAAAGTAGATGGCCTCAGCAGGCTGACTTACGGCCTAGTGCACTGCACTAAAAGTTTCTTGTTGACTTTCTAGCCATATGGCACGACCAGGTGTTAATGCCTTCCTTCGAGCATACTGTAGCATCCTTAACAGGGTGCCTCGATCAGTTTAGGACTATGGAGAGGTTGCGACTGATCCGAAAACATGTCACTCTTCCCGAATGAGCATAAGATGACGCTCACACGCAAAGTCAAGGACAAACGGCCGACGTATCAATTCATACAGTACCGTTACATGATGATAGTAAAAAACGGATCCGATAGGACGAGCTTTGTGAAATTCCGGGCTAAACAGTCTCTTCTCAGCAGATTCAGTGACTTTTCTATGATAAGTACACAATAAAATTACCCTCCACATCAACCAAGTGTGCAGAACTGGCGGAAGAGTCTCTTCGAAGCGCTAGAAGAAAAACCTCCGAATAGTAACCATTACAATGGCATTATGGAGAAATAGCAGTCCCATTAAATGGGATGAAGCATACCATGGCCAGTTAATAATAGATTTACGATACAAATAATTGGGTGGACACCAAGTTACAAACTGGTTACGGCAGCATTTGGAATAAATACAGGGTATTCTGAACCAGTACCAAACGCGATAGTCAGGGTCATCCATCATGCCAGTCAATGGGGAGGTAATTTAGCTAGGCACTGAATACTGAATAGCTCAAGCTAAAGTGCGTGCTGGTAAGAACTGTTCGAATTCTTCAGCTCAGAGCATGGCTCGTCGTTATGTACAATCCGTCTTCTGCCCAATTTCATGAGATAATTAAGTTTTCAAAATGGCTGCAAGCCGTAGATGACATATGATACCAACTACTTCAGTAAAGTCTGCAGTAGCGAAGATACGACAGGAATTTGGATTGCCATCTAAATCTTGTTCAAAACAGTGTCTTTGGCACTGATTCTCTTGAAAATATATAACCCGTAAGGTAACAGTCCCATGTGACAGTTTGAAGAGGCACTTCCTTCCTGTAGATGACGAACAAGGTGATACTCCCTATATAATTCGACCGCATGATTAATTCATACTGACTTCTTTTCGTTCCCGTTTGTGGAGCATCTCGTATGTGAACAAATAAATATAGAAGTAAATGAACTTATTCCTTCGGCAGCTTGTGAGCTATGAAAATGTATCGAGGTAAGGATTCATTGAACTCATCACCTATCTCTACTAATTGTAATTTTCCAATGCTGGCTAAAACGACCATCCCAATTACTTACTTTTCCCCATTCAACTCACTCACTTCTTGCAGTCAAAGCCTGCATTTACATAAGAGAAGAAAAAGAAAAAAAAGGTAAAAAGAAGAAAAAGCTCTTTACGAATCCATGACTTGCCTGAGCTAGGAAGTTAGAGCCTCAGAGATCCGCCTCCACTTTGAGTTGCCCGGTAGAATGGCAAAGAAAACGCAAGACGTCTACAACGTTGACAAGATAAGACTTGTACAATCATTGTCATCAATCATTGGCGGGAAATTTCGATTCGGCAAATTGCCAACGGCAAAGTCGGTACGCAATTTTACGGACTTCACGTTTTAAACGATAGCGAAACTTCAATTTTTAGGAACCCTAAACCTAACCTCGGCGATCCATACCACCTTATACAAATGTAAGAGTCACTAATGCCATAAAAGCTTGCAGTTCCCCAAAAATTAACTCACAATTAAGGGTATGTAGCAAATTTTGCTGGTAAGCTGCTTTCGAAGGAATAATCTGTCAGGTGGACTATATTTGAACGAGTTCAGGGTGGAACGACGGCTCAGAGCCTTAAGACAGTCCGAAAACAAGTATTATTCTAAGTTAACTAAACTGCTAGACAGTACGACCTACTTTCCTCCGAATAAGGGAGTTATAGTTGTACCGAATGGAAAACTCGACCGCTGTTTTATACATGACAGGACTGAAAAACTGGAGTGACTTCGAATTCCACCAAAACTTGGCTTCGTACTACTAGTACAGATATGATACAAGGTATTTTACGAGCTTTTACGACTACTAGTAATATGGAACAGGAAGGGAATTACGGTAAATTAGATGGGATGGATTTTGTTTACTTCAAAGTTTTATTAAGCACAAAGCTCGTTCGGTACCTCTTTTCAATTGGATTAAGTGATGGCTAGACGATAGAAAAGTCACAGAAACGATTCATACATTTCTATTCTTATAGTTTTGGGAATAATTTTCAAAAAGGCCTCGGAACATACGGTGATTGGGGTTGGAGGTGGTCTAACAAGTGAATGTGGTACAATAGGGTTACCGGCAACAGTAATAAAATTGCTCAGCAATTAGCAGTAGGCGATTCGAAGGTTCGTCGTGTCGCTGCCGCTTTTGAAGAACAAAGAAGTAGCGAAGTTTGGGTGGGACCGTAAGTACGCCCTGCTAATTGCTGGCTGATCAATCACAGACTGACAGTAATTTGCTGCCATTGAAATATCGTCCTCCAACTGCCAAAGGAGGGTCGAGAAGACAAGAATTGGATTTACCGCAACACTGGGGGGAGATGCTGAACTTTATAGGAAGGTTTNAGAAGTAGCGAAGTTTGGGTGGGACCGTAAGTACGCCCTGCTAATTGCTGGCTGATCAATCAACAGACTGACAGTAATTTGGTGCCATTGAAATATCGTCCTCCAACTGCCAAAGGAGGGTCGACGAACATGCGAATTGGATTTACCGCAACACTGGGGGGATGCTGAACTTTATACGAGGATTTAAAACTGATTTCAAAAAATCGAATTAAAAACTATAGTTCCAATCTATTCATCGTGACATTCCTGCACGTTGATTGATAATAGTGAGAGCCATGACTAAAGGGATCCTCACAATAGATGGACTTGTAGTGAATGGACCAGTTTTTACGCACCGCGAACGCGCGCCTGATATTCATCTTATGGGCACCTGCAAAGATCTCTATTCCGCGATTCCAGGATAAATGAAAGTCATATGAAAGTCAACCCTTAATTGACACTGGCCAATTTCTCCAAGATGTGCCAAGCAATAGAATTCTTTTAGGATCGATTGACACGATGACAGGGGCAGGATTCAACAGTATGGAACTTTGAAACAAATGGGCGAAGAAATGTGGACGGGGAAGTGTTTCCCGTCTCTGCAAGAAAAATAGTCCTTCTTGGAGTGGTTTCAGGTGATAACAAACTTTTGATTGATGGAATCTGCTAGTAGATTGCTTCACGCTCTAAATAAAAACAGTTTCTCACTGGTGGTACAACGGGAACTCTTTTTTATACCAAGCAAAGTGTATGAGTCAGGAGGCGCCGTCTTGACCGCCGCGCCGAAACTAGGTCACTGTGCGTGAGAAAAGACCCCAGGTCTTTCTGACACTACATTCCTTTGAAGCACCGGCACTTTGTTAACTACCAGAGAGACGTCTTGTTTTTTCTTTGGGACGGGAAGACGGGATGTTCCTCCATTTCTATTCCACTTTTCTTATTCTGCTACTCTTAATTCACTCCCGTAAATCCCTAGAGTGGTCCAAACACGAAAAGCAACATTTTGCAAAAATTGAAGTGGAGTAAAATTGCCCTAGTGACAAGGGAACTGTCTCAATTCAGTTGGCCAAAAAGCTGGGCTCCTGAAAAAAAAACCTAATTATACTGCTGCTTCATTATGTTGGATTGAGTAACCATTTTATACGGTACAGTAAGATACAAAACTACCCTGTCTCAATGAACACTATGGAAAGCGGCAGTGCAGCAGGCTCCTTCCTTTCATAGGGCAAAAAAGATTGATGGATTGGTCCTTTTCTTTATAAGTCTTCATAAGCCCGAAGTAAAAAAAAGCCATTTTTTCCAAATATTCATATGTATTTCCATATATTTACATACATATTTGTATTCATATGCTTATTTGCTCTCCTACATTAACAAAGGCACTTCAGAAGTACTACAGAATTTCGCCGAGACACTGCTACTAACCCATGATTTAATCAGTAGTTAAAGCTGCAGTGGAACGGGTTTCAAAAGCCAGAGCCTAATTGACCTTGGAGACAGGTGTCTTCACAATGCCCCTCCACTACACTGATTAGGGATTTGTGCTTAGGAAGAAGGGGGTCTTAGGACCGATTGTTCTTGCCCTGTAAAGGGTAGAAACCCAGTAAACAACCAAATGATGCTATTCTTTTGCCATACATGAGTGTTTGCTGGTCTGTAACTGACAGGAGTTGATGAAGCGCTTGATTGTCGCAATGAGGATCCGATCGTTCAAGTGACAGCGGCGCCTCTACATCTTGCAGCGAGAAGGCAGTTTCAAAGAGGTGGTCAGTCGTAAAATGGCTATACTTCGCGCCAGCACGCTAGAACGCTACGGCTTTGAGAAGTACAACGGAAACTGAGCATGAGACCGAGCACTTACTCTAATGTGATACTGCTCTGGACCTAGAACCGTGTTATTTCATGAGATTTCACTACTAAGAGGGAAATAAAGCTGTAATGAGAATACGGTAGGAATTCTAGTCCATGTCAGAATTTCGTCCGTATTATGGGGAGGTTAGTGTCGATGTTACGGTGGCTCTGCATATGGCAAATTTCTGTTGAAAGGTAAAAAAGACGGACCACATTAAGTACGGATTTGGAAGGAATGAAATTAAAAGAAACATTCGATCTCCGAGGTATTGTTAAGTGGAGTTGTCACTCTGTCATAAGAAAAAGTAGGAAAGCCAACCCACTATCAGTAGTAGGGAGGAATTACCAAAGTGTAAAAACGGCGTCACATACACCTCCTAGGAAGACGAGGTTTCTTAACAGCATGTCCCTTCGAAGGTTCCTCTTATGAGTGGATTACATAATTTCATTGCTAGACATAGGTGACCAGTTTGTTTGAAATATGAGCTTTATCCATAATCCCAACTTGACCCGTGTAGGACCGATTTATTCCCCGTACTTAGGCCCACTGTGGAGACATAACCTTACGCTGTTCTCTCAAATGGCTCGCAAGGTGCACTTTATGGCACAATTATTCCTTTTGTAACCTGCTTTTCTAAAGATAGAAACTACATGAAGCGAATGAAAAAATTAGGTTGCCCATCTAACGACAATTATCATATATTATCAAACTATCGTGGCCACTTTACGTGAATAGCTTCGGATAGAGACTGAACAGGACTGATATGAACAGAAACTAGGTTACCGTTTTACCGATAATTATCACACATTATCATATCATCTTGGTCGTCGATATGTGGATGAGATATGAACCGAATGAAAAGCAAAAAGTGCATTGTGTTGATGATCAGTGCAAAGTGCAGAACGACACCAACTGAACGACGTCAGAGGTCATCGAACCAATTAGGATTGAGCGAGAGAAACGAACGGTAAACAAGACTTAAATGAAATCCACTAAAAAGGTGAAGAGAGCTATACAAAAACGGTAAGTGTAAACTGTAATTTGCTACAGAGTTCCACCAAAAAATGATTAATTATTGTAGTTATTTTTCATCATTAATAATTTCTTGATAGTTTGAAAAAGAGTAGACCGGAGAGATGGACGGGCAAAAAAGGGAAAAGAGCGCAGTTTTAGACTCTAGGAGGGATTTACTAATTGACGTAAATGTAGAATTGGCAGATTGCTGAAGGGGATTACTGGAGAGTGTAACGCGATTTGAGTAAAGTTCCAGAGAACAATATTTGTTTTTTTGTTTATTTGCCTTTATTTGTTGTTTTTGTTTCTTATATAAGTCCCAAGCGATAAGTGTTAAAAGAACTTGGGTTGACAACTGAACTGTACTATATCTTGACTTTCTTCCCTGACCATAATACGGTAGCAGTGACCTCACTGAATTCGGTACCCTACGTAGATTCCAAATAGTTGTCAGGGATCACCCTTTGCTAATATTATTCTCTTAGCTATTTTTACGAGCCTCGATCAATTTTTTTTCAACACTGATACTGTTAGGACAAAAGTACGTTCTATGCAGCTGAAAAAAAACCTAAAATTGAAAGCTCCTACAATACTACGTAGCTTAACTGAAGCATATACATAACACCACAAATCTTTCTCAAATTCCCATCCCATAGCAAAAATCTGGAATTTCTCAAGTTTTCACTACTATTTTCAATGATTGAATGTAAAAGTGTATAAAAGCGATTTATAAAGTGACTAGAAAACGCTGGGAATTAAAGAGGATGTAGTTGAAGAAAGAAATGATCTCTAAAAGAATAAAAGGATACATAAATAACTAGATCAAGCCGTAAAATTGAAAACTGGAAAACTGGTTAGTGTTATTGTTAAAGTTCTACATGTAAGTGACTACAGCCTGAACTTTTTCGGTTGGCACTTTTGAATGCATTAGATTACTAGCAGGTACTTGAAAAGAGTAACCATTAAAGTGGTCGACACCTCACCTCAAAAATAATCGATTATTGAAATCGCGTTTTATTTCAACCAGAGCAAAGTGCCTTTCCGAAGAAACTACTTATAGCCTAGCAACGTCTATTTCAGCCACAGCAACTATACTATATGGAAAGGGGGCTATCGCTGGGCTATCGTAGTTCTACCTGAACTCAACGGGCTGTATTATTGCCCAAAAGTTACTGTAGCTATACTCTGCAAAAAAAAAAAACTAATGAGCGGAGCTTTCAAAAGAACACCCACGAAAAGACCGACGGGTATTCGGACTGAAAAGGGAAGGATATGATGGAAACGGTGACAAAATCGTGTTCGACACATTGCAACCCCAATGACGGCGGCGGCGATGAAGACGACGACCACGACGAAGGCGTTCCCTCGACGTCCGTACGACGACGGGGGCGTGGCCTCGTGGCCAAGGTGCGAATTGCTCGTCACCTGGCCATGCCAATAGCCAAATATGTGGTAATTTAATTAACTATAATTGAAGTGTTCAATCGAGTCACTTGAAATGTTTTCCAGATGACGCATTGATTGCCGTAAGCGTATGTGGCTACGCTGAGTACGGTACTAAAGCCGATAGGCAGTTCTATCTGATCTCCTAATCAGATTTTTTGAACTCGCTGGAAATCTGATGTATGCCAAGACTATTTCAAAAGTGACATAACAAAAATATGAAAATACGAAACTCCAGATGATATTTTTTTGCCGAATGCTAACCAAGCTTTTCAACAATCCAGAATAATTCAATTAGTACCNTACGGTACTAAAGCCGATAGGCAGTTCTATCTGATCTCCTAATCAGATTTTTTGAACTCGCTGGAAATCTGATGCATGCCAAGACTACTATTTCAATAGTGATGTGACGAAAATATGAAAATACGAAACTTCAGATGATTTTTTTGATGAGTGCTAACCAAGCTTTTCAACAATCCAGAATAATTCAATTAGTACCAGACCAGATCCACTGAGGAAGGACAAAGAAGCGCCATTCTGAGTGGAAATGGAATGCATGGATGCATCCCAGAACAGAATGAATCACGATTAAACCTTCTACTACCACTTTACCCCGCCAGATTTTTGCGTTTTTACTTCTAAACCAATACAAAAATAAATAAATAAATAAATAAATAAGATAAATAAATTATCCTCTAGAAACACTGCACGATAACAAGGACAAAAGGCTAAACCTGGACAAAGCAAATGGGGTAGAGGCATATGCAGGAAGAATTGAAGTGACGGATTATCCACATTCCTTTCGTTGAGCCAGCCAGTTAGTGCTGATGGCAAAGGAATGTGCACCATCCGTCACTAGTAACTGCCCTGGAAAAACTAAGAATGGATTCATATATCATATGAAATTATCGACTGTGTAGAGACATCTCATAACATCACTCAGTCATTCCATGAATATTTCTTTTTTAAAACTGTTATAAATATATAGCTGAACATCAACCTACGCCTTCTACTTATAGAGGTCAGGCATTTGAAGAATGTGGTAGCGATGTCAAAAAAAAGTCCAAGCATAATTATACATTAGTGATATAAAATAATAAAATGAGTAAACTCGGTAGCATAATATGGATATGCACACAATAATATGTAAATATAATAAATTAATGAGAATGTAACATTATACATGAGAACATCTAATTCTTTTCAAAGATATGGTCTGCAAAATGTTTCTCAAACTTCGAGTTCATTAGCTTTTCAAAACATGTTACAGATAAACTTGACTGAGAGAAATTGGGAGAGAGAAAGGGAGAGAGGCTTTGAGAAGAAAAAAAAAAGGAAGTTAGAGGAGAGCAGGGAGAAAG